AGATTTCTTAAAATAGATGAGACTGTGAAAGTACAAACCATGAAGAGAAGATTGGTCTGACCATGTTAAAAGTAAAAATTTCTGTACAGACAAGATACCATGAATAATATTAAAAGAAAGACAAGCCACAAAATGGGAGAAAATATTTGGAACACGTATAATTAGGATGTAGATTATATAAAGAACTATAAACCAAGAAGAAAATGACAACTGGAAAGGAAATGAAAACAACTGGAAAAATGTGAACATGCAGTTCACAAAGGGGAAACATCATTTGTTGGTCTACTTATGAAAAGATGTTAGGTTGGCCTCATTAGCAATCAGGTAAACATAGATTCAAACCAGGGCGCAAAACTACTTTATATTCATCATATTAGCAAATGTTTTAAAGACCGACATTGTCAGTATAAAATTGGTATAATCACTTGGGAGAGCAATTTGATAATATCCCATAAAGTTGAAAATATGGATACTCTATGACCTAGCAATTTCATTGATTCAGTCATACAGTAAATATTGAGTACTTGCTGTGTATATGGCATTGATGCAATCCGATAGGGTACAACAATAAATTAAACAAAAATCATTACCTTGAGGAGCTTACATATTAGTGGTAGAAGTTGGTATACACCCTGAGGAAGTTCTTGTGTATGTTCACAAGAAGATATGTACAAGAATATTAATTGCAGCTTTTTGTAATAAAAGAAGTGGAAACAAGTATTCATCAGCAGGAAAAAGGGTAGGTAAATTGTACATTCATATAATGAAATACTATATAGCAGTTAAAATAAATGGACTTGAATTTCATGTGTCAACAGGGATATATCTATAGTCATAATGTTGAGTAAATATATGGAGCAATGGGTACAATATGATACCATTTATATAAAGTTTAAAAGCAGTCAAGACAGCATTATGATAAAGTTCAAAGTTGTGCTTGAAAATGGTAAAGTCAAGATAGTTACTTCCTCTGGAGAGGGAGAAGAGTGGAATCAGATATGGCACATAGTTTGCTTCACTTTTATTTCAGATGTTTTCTTTCTAAAAAAGATGTGAAGCAAATAAACATAGGCTTTGACATAGCTATGTGGTTGCTAGCTGCATGTGTGTTCTGTGTGCTTGAAATATTCCATAAAAGTTTTAAAACGACACATGCAATCTTGTGAGGTCCTGAGCTTTCTATCTCTAAGGAACTAAGCTGAAACTTACAGAGGAATTGTGTGGTAGTGATTTTTAGAGAGCCTTAGAGGTTCTAAGTGGTTCTTCAGAGGCATGGGAAGGGAGAGCCAATTAGGCACCCTGTTTCAGCTAGTAACAAGCTTGTTTGCTTTATTTGCTTGCGCATCAGCTAAAATTTTTGTATGGTAATTTACTAAAAGTTTGAATACACTATTGTGGATTAGAAAGTTAGATTGATATACATCTTATAAGTCTTATGAATTTAATAACATGCTTTTTTGTACTTATGTTTACATGCTTGCTAATGTATGTATTTGTGAGTTTTGCAGATGTAAGGTGAATTCAGTGACTACTAGACATTCACTGTAAATTATGCTTTTTGAGAACAAATTATTGTTTTATGTTCTTGATTTTTATTTATTTTATACTTAATGCATTTCTTATATATTTAAAATGTTATCATTTTTTTTGTTTCCTCTTTTTTTGTATGTTTTCTTCCATAGTATGAAATTAATCTTTTGGAGCTGATCCAGAGAAGAAGAACTGTAAGTAGATAATTTTCTGAAAGTTGTAAAAAATGTAAAATTAAATGGTATGGCTCTGTAGCTAGAACTTGGGTTTGGGAAACAGTTGGCATTGATAAATTGTGGGGTGCTGATAATGGATATTTGTAACAATTTGCTTTCTCTGTCAGTACTGTTTAATGATCGAGTGGGAATGCTGCTTTGGATAAATATGATTAAACCGAGGTTTTGCTTTTTTATGTTTCTTTTTAGCGCATTGGGTATTCATTTAAGAAGGATGAGATTGAGAATTCTATTGTACATCGGGTACAAGGTGTCTTCCGACGTGCTTCAGCAAAGTGGAAAGTAAGTGATCAGAGCATCCTTAACTGAAGATACGTAGTATACGTGTTATGATTTGGATATTCAAATATATTGTTCTCTAGTCTTATCTTAAGTATCTCAATACTTATTCTCAGGATAGTATCATAACTTGAAACCATTTAACAAACTAGTAAGAAAATTTATCTCATTCTGTGAGGATGGTGCTGAAAAGAGTAGTTTTGAAACATAATTAAAGATAAAAAGAACTAGAATTTGGTATATCTCTAAGTAAAATACACTGAAGACTTGGAGGTGAAAGATAAATGGTTAGAGTATGAGCAGTACCTCAGTAACTTGATTTTCTTCAATTTCAGCTCTGAGACTGGGACATATTATATGGGAAGTAGTTTGGATTCCTGGAAATGACAAATTGTGGGTTGCTATCCTTGACTAAGACCATTTTAAAACTACATTGAACAAATTGGATAGGCAACAGATTTTGTCTTAGAGCATGATAGGTAGGAGTGGTGGAACAGCTTATCATGGTTAAGAGATCTCAGGCCTTGATGGGGGACAGCCTAATAGGCTGAGGGATTTTGTAACACATTGGCATTTCCGAAATCTACCTGTTTCAAAGGTGTATTATGTATAAAGTTCAAATTCAGGCAGCTTACTACACTACTTTTCTTGCAGGATGACGTTCAACTTTGGCTATCCTATGTAGTCTTTTGTAAGAAATGGGTGAGTATTTGGGCAGCCGTGTCTTGCTCTCCTTTCTTCTATTGGTTAGTTGGCTTATTGAACTTCATGTTTTCTCCAAAGGTGTAGGGTTAACAAATGGGAAAAGAACACAAGAAAGCTGAACTTCAGTATAACAGCATTTGCATATCCGAATGACTAACTGTCTTTTAAGTTAGTTGAAAAGAAAATGATCTTTATGTGTATTTGTTTATTAAAGTTGAATTTTTTTTTTGGTATTTAGAATTTTTGTGTAGAGTGGTTTAGATAGAAGAAAACTATGAGTGCGTCTGTATTTGTTTATTTGTCCCTAGCAATAGCAATTCTTGCCCATTGGATTTTCCAGTTGGTAAGGGTACAGTACAGATTACTTAGATTAATAACAATGATTTCCCTGTGGAGGAAATAGAATTTTTCTTCCTCTTTTACAGGCTACCAAAGCTCAACTTAGTAAGGTATTCTCTGCCATGTTGGCCATTCATTCAAACAAGCCAGGTATGGTGAAATCCTTGTTAGTTCTTTTTTACCTTTTATGTAGACTCAGGCTATTTTGGAATTTATTTTGCTTGATAAACCTAAAAGGTTATTTTGAAAACTTGAGCTTAGGCACTTGGCCTTAGCGGTTTTGGTTCCTAAATATCTACCTCTTAGTTATCCTTCTGTATCGTATACGAGTTACTGTGTAAGGTATTATACTTATAGGCCAGAAGAACTATGTGTTTTTTTTTAGTTGTTGGTAAAAGAAACTGTTTGGTCCTTTGAGGGACATTTTTTTTAGAGGCAGTCATATTTAGGGGATTTCAAAAACTTAAAGGGGAAATACTGATACAGATTTTAAAAGAGTGACTGGCATAGGGTAGATACTTGTGTTTTGTAAGAGAAAGACTTCTCTTGTGAACATTGTATGAATGGTACGTTATTTTGCAGGGAAGGTACTCCGGTGCCTATTATCAAGTATTAGGCTCAACCAGACATTTTATACTACATTAGACTTAAATAGTCTACATTTGGTACCAGTTTATTCAGAAGAATATGGGAGGACAGGATTAGGTGTATTTCTAAACTAGAGTACTCTTAGCAGTTCAGAGGCTAGTGGCAGTTCAGGTGTGAGGGGATGATACCACATGAGTGGGTATAAGAGCCAGTCTGGCTTAGAAGATCCATGTATGGGCATAGCTTCCAGGAATACTAGAAAGGACTGTACTCAATTTCAGGAGTCACAGGCTCAAGAAAGCCTGAAGCAGTGGCCCTCCTAGTATAAATGTGGTTAACAACCATAGGTCATTTTTACCAAAAGCAGTCTTGCCTGGTAACAGACCTTTATTAAGTTTCTAGGGAAATAGAATGCTAACTCAAGGTTAATTTCCCATGTAGAAGAGCAGAAGTTTTTTTTTTTTTTTTTTTTTAAGCCTTTATTACCAACAGATATGATAAAAAATTTATTTTAGAATTATGAGCCATTGAGTGGCTGGTTAGCTCAGTTGGTTAGAGTGTGGTGCTAAAATTATGAGCCATTAAAAAAATATATATGAACTATTTTAAATAGAGAAAAGAACAAAATAATTTTATTTTGTTGATTCTAAGATGCATAATTTTTTCCCAGCATTTTAACACTTAAAATTTTTCTGTGTCTTAAAGTGATGTTGACCTTAGGTGTGATGAAATACAGTAATAGGCACATAAGTACCCTTAGATGTTAATATTTACCTATTTGCTTTAGAATACTTTTGTAATTTTAGATAAAGCAACAATACAGATAACTATTAGAAATTCCCCTTTCCATCCCCTTCCATTTTTGGTAGGACTGAAAAAAAATTCTTTGACTATTAAAATTGAAACAATGGTCTTTTTTTGTCTAACTTGATTTATTTATTGAAATGAAGCCTGATATTTTTCATTTATAGCTTTGTGGATTATGGCAGCCAAATGGGAAATGGAAGATCGCTTGTCTTCAGAAAGCGCAAGACAACTGTTTCTTCGAGCTCTGCGCTTTCATCCACAGTGCCCAAAACTTTATCAAGAAGTGAGTGTGTAAAATAAAAATAAAATCGTCCCTTTAGAAGAAGAAAAAAAAGGGAGTGTACGTGCACATAAGATGAGAGAGTGATGTCTCAGTTAGGTCCTCTGGAGATGTACATTCTTTATTAATTTAAAAATGCCTTCACTTTATGGAGGCTAAGGATATGTAGGGGAGCTGCTGGGGAAAGGGGACCAGGAGGATATTTCTTCGCCAGTAATGGACTTTGACCTTGTACATCTTCCAGGTTTGTAGTGAGAGACTGATAAAACTCTGACCTGCCCATTATGGTTGGGAAGGATAGGGAATTGGACCTTACCTGTTTTTAGTTGGGAGACCAGGGTTCAGCCATCTTGATATACCTCTGTTATTTTTTTCTTGGCCTTCCATCCTACCTTCCTTCCTTATTTTCCTTTCTTCCCTCCCCCTTTCTCTCCCCCTTCTTTCCTTTTTCCTCCTCTATTCCCCGCTTTTGTCTTCTCTTCTCCTTTTTTCCACTTCCCATTCTTTTTGTCTCTTATTCTTGAGATGGATACTTCCTTACTCCCTCTTAGAGGGGTGCACTAGAGCAATGATGGCCATTGTTTTGATTAAAACAAACAAATACTGGAAATAGTGTATTATTGGAAGCTACACCCTTTTCTGAGATATTTGTCAGAGTAAGGGAGAAACTGTTGTTTAGTCTTCAAATGAATATTAATCCTTGTATGCTGAGGGGGGAAAAAGATACGGGTCTTCATGCTAAATGGTTTTGTAGCTGTCTCAACCGTAGTTTTGGTTTCATAATTTAATGATGTTTTATATTGTAGTCATATTTCTGTTAGATATTTCTTTGCTGCCTTTATTTATTTTTATTGAGAAACTATTGTAAGAATCAATCCTCTCTGCTGTTTAGAGGGTTATTGTGTGGTGTTGTTATTTATATGTTTTTTTTGGAGGCTTTCATAAATACCCATACTTGTATTTTCCAAAATGGAAATAGATTTATTGCTTATTCTTAACAAAAGTAATTAGAATTTGTTATAAATAGTTCAGAGAAAATAGTTTAATGACAAAGTGACAGAAAAAGTACTCATTGCACATACTTTTATGCATATTACAGATATTTAAAACAGGTTTTGTTTCTGAAAAGTGGGATTCTACCACATAATCTTGTGTTCTGTATTTTTATCTAATGCATCATGAGTATAGTTCTGCAGTAGTATATATTGCTCTATATTGGTGGCGTTTAAAGTTTTTGGTCTTAGGATTTTTTTGCAATCTTAAATTACTGAGGAACTCAAAGATCTTTTGTTTATATGGGTTATATCTATCAGTTCTTATTTTATTGAAAATTAAAACCAAGAAATATAAAAAATAATCATTTAAAAACAAACTTATTTACATGCTAAATAAATTACTTATTTTTAAATGAAAATTACTCTTTTAAAACAAAATTTAAAGAGAAGAATGGCATTATACATTTTTGCTAATTACTTGAATATCTGATTTTATCATAGCGGACAGGTAGATTCTCAGATCTGCTTTTGCATTCATTATGGGTGATAGTGCCCATTAATATAGCCTCTGGAAAATCTTTAACTTTTGATATAATAAGAGTGAAAAGGCAGATAACATGTTAATGTTGTTATGAAAATAATTTTGACCTTGCAGACCCTCCGAAAGCGTGTCAGGACCCCCCCAGGTATCTCCAAGTCACATTTTGAGAACTTCCGATGTATATTTAGCTGTTCTAATAGCCACATTATAAAAAATGGTTTTTATAAAAGTAATAGTGTATGTGTAGAAAATCTTGGAGAAAAAATAAAAAGCAGAAGCATGGAAGGAAAAATGTTTGACTAATTCAGGACATGCTATTAACGATCTGGTGCATTTTTTCTTCTGTGCACATTTTTCACATGGCGGAAGATATACTTGTGTTATATGTAAAATTTTGTAGCCAGCTTTAAAAACCAGGTAGAATAACATTAGAATTGTGATGCACCATTATAAAATTATCGTAACTATTTTATGACTACATCAGCAATATACTTCTTTTATAACCTATTTCACTTTTAGATTGTTTCCAGTAATTGCTCTTAACATCTTTATGTATGAATCTTTTAGGTATTTAGGATTATTTCCTTATGATAGATTCCTAGAATCAATTCCTGGTTTAAAGGGTATAGCATTGTTTTTATTTATTTATCTATTTTTAATTTTTTAGGCGAGGCAACCTTTGGTTGACCTCCCAGATTGCAAGGACCCTGTAAGCTTACAATCCTTTATTTTTTTATTTTTTATGCCTACAGCACCTGGTCTTCCTAGGTGGTCTCCCATCCAAATACTAACCAGGCCCGACCTTGCTTAGCTTCTGAGATCAGACGGGATTGGGCTTGTTCAGGGTAGCATGGCCGTAGACTCTAAGCATTGTTTTTAAACTTGTCATTTTAATATTTTGAAATAGAATTCAAAGTATTAAAAATTCTGGATAAGCCCAACTTTACAGTACATGTTAATTGTTCATTAATTTCTGTTAATATAGCTTGATGTTACATATTTACCCTTGATTTTTATTTCAAAATAATTACAGATACCTTGGAAGTTACAAAGATAATATGGAGAGGTCCTATGTACCATTTACTCAGTTTGCCCTGATGGTTACATTTTATAAAGTTATAGCATAATATTAAAGCCAGGAAATTGACGTTGGCATAATGTACATATAGTTCTGTCATTTTTTTCACATGCATAGATTTGTGCAAGCACCACTGAAGTCAGAATACAGAACTGTTACATGCGCAGAGACCTACCTCCTTGTCGGTGTTAGCTAGTTTTATAACACATGTACTATTCCCCCAAACTTTCCCAGATCTGATATTTATGGGTAAAAAATGGCATCTTATGTATTTCTAACTTAAAAAGTCATCTCTAAAAATTTTCAATTTATTATTTCCCTCTGTAGTACTTTAGGATGGAGCTGATGCATGCTGAGAAATCGAGGAAGGAAAAGCAAGAATTTGAAAAAGCCAACATGGATATGGTAAGATCCTAATGTGTTATCTCTTGTTAAAAATGTATAGAGGTTTCATGGACAATGGACTAGTGGTTACCAGAAAGTAAGGGGAGAGAGAGGGGGAGGTAGACGGGGAAAAAAAATTTAAATCATTTCTTCAATTAAAAAAAAAATAAAATTAAAAAAAATAACAAAAATAAAAACACTGGCATTGGCCTGAAAAAAGAAAAAAAAATACTATTTATTTATTTATCCCTTCAGTAAAGTTCTGTTGTTTTAAGATTTAAAAAAAAAACAAAACGTATAGAGGTATTGAGCCTGCTTAAGAGTAAGAGAAAAATCTTTGGAATGTATTTTTCTTTCCAATTCAGTGTTATATTTTGAAAATTTAAGATGAGTCGAGAGTTTGACTTAATTAAATGGGCTTAGTAATAAAAGTGGAATTTTGTGCTTTAAAAATAGACTTTTGGATTATTGACATGGCCCTCAAAATTATTACTCATGGAACGGCCAAATGCTATTCTTTAGTACTTATGATTTTGTTAAATAATATATTAATGGGTTGAGGGAGCTCAAGAAAGGTTGTGAAATGTGTGGTTCCTAGCTTCTTTTTTATGTTAATTTTTTACATGACAGAATAATTTTACAGAGAAATTTTAGAATGTTAGAGCTGAAAAATGTACTTTGTTATCATCTGTTATTGTGGTTTCTAGCTCTGATTTTTCTGTTTAAGTAAAAGCTTTACACAGAAGAGTAAACAGGGCATGTAAAACTTGACCTATTCTGGTCTAAAAGAGGAGCAAGGCCTTAAACCATGTGATCTTGCTACCACTCCAGGGGCTTGAGAGACCACAGTTTGAAGATCAGTGGTCTTACTCAAGCTGCAAGTTGTGTAAGTGAGGGAACTGGCCCAGAGAGAGACAAGATTTGCCAGAGGTCATATGACATAGGTAGTCTAGGATCTACTTACTGGTGTTACCAGTTATGTTTAATATAACACTCTTTAGGGGAATCTTGATTGTCCTGAAGAAATCCTTACAGGCGAATTGGCACGGATCATCTACAAAAATTCTGTAAGCATAATTAAAGGTAGGTATCTTTTGAAAATTTATTTATAGTGGAAAAGTGAAATAACCTATTTATAATAAGGAAGACCTGTTAATTTTGAAAATTTCCATAAGAAATTCTGTTAGAATGTGTATAAAACCCCGATGGTGGTAATAACGTCCTATTACTTTCAGAAGAGACTTATTGCTCCTTAGGATGTACTTGAACATTTCAGTACATTTTTATTGAGTACTTAATTCATGTGGGGAGTGGAAAAGAAATAGATGATTTAATGCATTCTTTTATGCCCTTAAGAAGTTTAGAATAAAAATTAGAAGTACTTATGAGTACCCCCAAATATTATTAATGGTTTTGCTTGTATAATGGGACAGTGGGTGTTTTTTTCTCTGTTTTGTCCTATTTTTCAATTAAAAAAAAATAAACTACAGTATATCAAGAAGGTGGTGGTACTTTTAGAGTAAAGCAATACTTTAGAGTCTTACCCCTTCCCCAACTTTTTAAATTTTAGGTGCAGAATTTCATGTGTCATTGCTTTCAATTGCACAGCTATTCGACTTTGCCAAAGATCTGCAAAGAGAAATTTATGATGAGTAAGTAAAATAGGAGAAAAGTGAATATGTTTGTTTCTGATCTTGTGGTAAGGGTTTGAGGGTGGATATTTAGAAAGTAGGAAAGAAGATACCACAATAAATTCTTGGAAGAAAGCTAAGTTTTAAGATCATTATATCATAGTAAATCAAATACAAAAACATATTCTTGGAGAAATTGTTTGATTTACTTATTAGCTTCCCTTGAGGAATAGTTTCTTTTTATGCAATAACATGTAAATCTTACAGCTTAAATAAAAATTTATATTCCGGCTTTTCTGCCATGTTTTTTGTCCATAAAATGAGAGTTGTACTCATGAATGATTATAGTTGAATGCTGCAAGTGATTTTATTCTTTAATGTCATTATATGGTTTGAGAATGATTTTGCCACCTACCTTGTGGGCACTTCACTCTTAGGTAGCACTGCTTACATTCACAGGAATTAAAATAGAACTTGGACTAGTTTGCTCTTCGGATATCTTCAGGGTTTTGGTAGAGGGTTAGGTTGTGCTTTATCTTTGCCTGTATTATAGAATAAGGTTCTCTAGGGCTTAAGGAAAGTTCTGTCATCACACATACCTGCTGATTTGACTTTGAGAGCTAACTTGAAAATTAACATTTGTGAATAATGTCTGAAATATTTTGAAACCTAATAAATGTGTGACAACTCTGATTCATTAACAAAATTTATACAGTGAGTGTGAAGATATCTGAAGAGCCTAGTGGGAAATGACTCTCATGGTACTGGAATTGTTGCAGGGGTATCCTGGGTACATTTTTAGAGCATAGGGAACTGTCTTTCTGTTTGGTATTCTAAGTTAGTCTTGTGTCATGAGGTTGATACCAATAAACTGTTATCTTTCAGCCTTCAAACTTTGCACACAGATGACCCTCTCACTTGGGATTATGTGGCACGACGAGAATTAGAGATCCATTCGCAGCCAGGAGAAGAGCAACCTGCCACGAAACAAGCCAAAGCAGTGGAGGTGGGCCGGAAGGAGGAGCGGTGCTGTGCTGTATATGAAGAAGCAGTAAAGACTCTCCCTACAGGTAAACTTCACCAAACTGAGGTGTGGTATACAGAAGTAATAGCAGTCATGAATATGAAACTGAAGTTCCCATTCTTATGATCAGAATCAATTTCAGGAATCTCTCTGTGGTAGTTTACAGTGTACCTGGCTTTCCAACTTGTTCTTTCTCTAGAGATAAAAGATGGAGCTTTTATGACCTTCCTCAATTGCAGTGGTATTTACATTCATTTATTTGGAAGTGATAATTCAGAATTAACTATAATGCTTTATCTTTTGATATAGATTTATTTTTAAATTTTGTAATACTAGAGTATTAAGGTAGAGGGGATATATAACATGGGTAAGGTTTTTAATTTTTATATTTATGTCATTATTCATTTGTTTTTCTCCACTATTGGAAATGTTCGATTGGCTGTAATCAGAGTAGCTTTTTTTCTTTTTACCCAGGTTGGTTTAAGCTCTTCTTCAGAGGAATTTTTCCTTCAAAGAAAAGATATATGATGATCGTTACACTAAGAGAATTGCTGATCTGATCAATGTATTCTTTTTTTCAGAGGCCATGTGGAAGTGTTACATTAACTTTTGCTTGGAAAGGTTTACTAAGAAGACAAATAGTCATTCCCTCAGGGAGAAGGTAAGGACTTTGTTACATGGTTATAGTGGCTGACTAGAAAGTGACTGTCTCTTGGCGCCTGGGATACCTTCCAACAACTTGATGCTTAATTGCTCTTTCTCCTTGTGAATGACCTGTTGTTTGGAAAGTCTGAGTTTTATTTGCTCTTATACTGGCCACCAGGTTTGGAGGTGCTGTCTTACTGGGCTGTACTTGGTGCAGCTGTCCAGTTCATCTAACCATAAGGAAAACAACCTCAGTCCCTTCTCTCAACACTTAGAAATGTGCAAAACTGCTTTTGATCCTGTCAGGCCAAAGACCTTTGTTGGGATCTTAGTAACAAGCTGAGGGATTTTTCTGATTTCAGAGGCTGGAAAGAACCATGGTTGCATTCAGGAAGGCACATGAACTCAGACTTCTACCAGAATTCCAATACAAGCAGTGGGTAAGTACTTGAACACATTCACTGCCATGAACTTAATTCTCGTTGGTTTGTGCTGGCATCATGTGTTTTAATATATATAAAGTTATGTGACAACCCATTTGTAAGTTTGGTATAGCAAATGTAGAAAGTATTTACATTTGGCTCTCAGTATTTGGCGTATGTCAAAAATGAACTCTGTACCAGTAAAAGGAGGAATAATATTTAGTGGAAAACACTCAAAGAATCACAGTTTGGGTTTATTTTGTTTGTTCCCCCATCCATCTTTTACTGAACGTTCTTTTCCTGAACTTTCAATCTAAATGCCGGGCCCAGATTAACCACTGGTATAATAAAAATAAATCAAATGTATTCCCTGTGTTTTAGAAGCTCTCATAGAGGCGTATTAACCCATCCTTACCTCTTGGGGTGGATAAAGATTATTTTAGAGACCAGAGTAATGTGCTGGGGGTGGGGGAAGTACACAGTTCTAGATTGGATTTTGCCATTTAATAGCTAGATGACTTGGGCAAATCGTTTAACCTTTCAGAGTTTGCTTGATTTTAAAATAGTAATAGCGATCCTTGTTTTTGCCAACTCAGAGTTGTCGAGAGCATTACACGAAGGTATTTAAATACCTTCATAGGCAGAAATCTTTATATTTGTCGGTGCCTTTATTTTGTATAACTCCTGATTCATATCATCATGTGATTTATATATAATTACTATTAATGTTTTGCTATTTCATATTCTGTTTTTATCTAACATTTAAAAATGCATTTATATATACTTGTATAATGCATATACTGTATACTAGCCTATTGTATCATATGACTAATGAGGTACCCTTCTTGTGCTATGGCATCTATCAGGCAAAAATCTCATGTCTGAATGAGTTCAGCTGCCCCCATTTAAGTTATTGAATGTCAATAGGACACTTACACCCTATACATACATCTAGATGGGCTTTGCTTTGAGTATTGCCTTGGTAGTCCTGCTCTTTCCATTATTTATCTTGCCACTAGCCACTCTGGCTTTTGCAAACATCCTCTGCTCTCCAAATCTCTCATGCTCCCCTTCCTAACTAGGCCACCTCATCACTCATTTGGTGACTTTGCCTTTAATGAGAGTTCCTCAACATATTGCCTCTAAACTTAAAAAGCTTTGCTGATTTCTACATCCATCCTTTCTTCACATTATTCTCCACAGAATGATCTTTTAAAATTAATTATGAGGTTATTCTGGGGCTTTCCATTGTCCTTTGGATAAAGCTGCTCAGTCTCATGTATTTGGCCCCTGCCTGTATTTCTAGCCTAACCTGCCAGCTCTTCATTTTACTCTAGCCATTGTGAACTTGAATTTCCTTTCGTATCCAAGCTCTTGCTCATCTTGAGCCTCTTGCGCATGCTGTTTGGGAGAGCTTTCTCTTTTCCTGTGGATTTCTGCTTTCACCTGACTAGTGCATGTTCTTCCTCAAGTCTTAGCATAAATGGTGATTCCTTTCTGGGAGTCCTTTCTCATCACTGTCATAGACCCTGTTGGGTGCTCCTGCTTTGTCCTCCCAATAGCATATTGGAGGCTCTTTAGTAGTGAATGTACCTATTTTCTCATTATTGAATCTAACATAGATAGTGTGAAATAAAAATGTTTGCTAAATGAACAGATTGTATACTGCCATTTATTTGCTTTTTCACAGTTTTATAAAATTGAATTCGTTTTAGGTTTTTTTCCCCTTGTGTTAAAGTGAAGTGGATATAGGCATTTTGAACAAATAAAATTCCTTCTGTTGATTTATTTGCTGGGTCATAGTTGTTAAAATAAAATTCCCAAGTTTAAGATATGAACACTTTTTATTTCTCGTTACATAGTATCAAATTATATTTCAGGAAAATTATATCAGTTTATAGTGTGCCTAACTGTTTGAATGAACTAACTTATTTCCTTATCACCCCACAAATACTGGTTTTATCTTTACTGATTTTTTTACATTGTTTGGTGAGTGTGAGTTTTATTATAATGAACTATTTTATTTAAAACTTCCAATCTAAATAATGTAGGCCTTCTACTTTTCACCTCTTCCCTGGTTGATGTTTTGTTTTGTTTTTGGATAGCCCTTGCGAGTAGGAGCAGGGAATGGAGGAGAAATTCCACTTTGTGCCTGTTTGGCAGCTATGGTAAAAAAGCTTAGTGGAAAGGCTGTTGAAATTACTGCCTCATATGAGGTCTTTATTTGTCCTCTATTACATAGATCATTTAGCTTTCAGTAGTTAACATTCCAGTGATCCTTTGTCTTATCTAGATTGAGTTGTTGCTGCATCATGACTTCTTTAAGGAAGCTCTGCAGGTGGCAGTAGCCGGGACTGAATTGTTTAGAGACTCCGTGATGATGTGGCAGATGAAGCTGCAAGTGCTGATTGACTCAAAGAGCCCTGACATAGCCATGCTTTTTGAAGAAGCCTTTGTGCACCTAAAACCCCAGGTCTGTCAGTTGGGTCTTTTATATTTCATTCTTTTGGCAAACCTTTTAAGACTTCAGCCAAAAGCTCATTTGGAATGTACTTGTGTGATGATAGTGGGCCCTAATGTGTACTTATGGTGATGGTCCAGGGTTCAAGAGTAGGAATTTACTTCCATTTAATGTCTTATTTCTAATTCTTTATTTGAAATTGATTATATTATATAAGTTATAAATTTTATGTTCCATCTAGATATCTTACAGGTGAGAAACAGTAATAAAATATTATCACTTGCTTCCAAACCTGACTTTAAGCCTGATTTTAAAACACATACATATTTCTAAACCCTAAAGTTTAAAAGACTAAACCTTAAACCTTTGCAGTGAATCTTTTATATTAGTAAAAAAAAAAGTATTCCAGGAGTTAAAGTGGGAAAAAAAATTTAATTATTTTACTGCTCATTTGTGTGGACTTCTGAGACATGAGATCAGGTGGTTCAACCTAGATTAATTAGTACTTTTGGGTCCTAGAGAGCAGAGACATATCTGGGGTAGCTGTGGGTCTGAGTATAGCTCTATAGGCTATTAATTAATTAACAGATAATTGATGATGATAACTACAGGCAGCATTCCCCAGCAGAAGGGAACTAGAATTAACAGGAGCGTATTACTGTGGGTGAATTGGTCAGAAGGCTATCTGAATTCTGGCATGCCAT